ATCGTATTCGCTCGGGCGCCTCGTGCGGACATGGTCATCATGCAGTACCTGGACTAAGGATTCCTCCTCGGATTCGAAGCTGAGAGCAGGTTCCTCTCGCAAAATATTGCGGCCGCGCTGACGATCAAGAGCATCTTTATCAGCGTGTGTGGCGGCGCATTCCGCATTGCGTTGACCCACGCTGCAATGGTCAGAGCCGCCAGAGGCCTGGGGCCTGTAGGCTAGGTCGACGAGCATCTGGTTAATGGTTCCCAGGGTCTCCCAGAATCGCCTGCTTCCTCCTGTCAGTTCAAGGGCGGTGCGGCGGGCGCCGCTGATGAGCTTGCACTCTCAGATGCCTTCATCTTCTCGCGGATGTCGCGGCACTCGCATCCGGCGATCTTTGGGGCAGCTCCCGGTGCTTTCGATGTAGTCTGCAGCGCCTTCTCGCCCGCATCTCGCTGCGAGCAGGTTCCCCTGGTTGTGCTGCCCAGCTGGCGATGGCGCCCGGCCAGCTCCCCTGTGGGCCCCGCCGGGAAATGGGCCGCGCAAGTATACAGGGTCCTTCGGCGTAGGTGCGCTGCTGCCTTGGGGCGCCGATGCTGCCGCGGCCGCCGCCGGCCCCCTGGGGCGCCGTCTGTAAGCGGGTTTCCCCGCAGACCTCTGTGACTTGTTGCTTCCAGGGTGAGCTTCCGCCGAACCGGTCCTTGTGTTTGAATGATGGGGGAATTGGTGACCTTGGCGCACTTGGCGATGGGCGTAGATCGACGCCCCTCTCAGATCGCCTCTTCGGAGGATCCGGGGCCCTGGGCGGTTCATCGGCGGGCGCCCCCGCTTTTGACCATGCCGCAGGTCCCCCCGCATCTCTTGATGGGGGTCTCTCCGGAGTAGGATTCCTCTTTGATTTGCAAAGTGGCGCGCTCTTCCCTGTTCTTGATGGGCAACGAAATGTGCCCATCGTCAAGCTTGCGCACTACCCTGGTACCTAAGCATCCAATTTCTCTAGCATGGTTTGACTACAATGCACCAGGCGCCAAGCCCACGTCCTCCGCCACTGGCTGAGTGATGTCCAAATCCGCATCGGTTGACTCAGTGCTATATGTATATTCTGAATCGCGACCAGTAGCAGCAGGGCCAACTGCATCCGCACGGGCAGGGCCGTCAGCCACTACATCGCCCATCGGAGAGCCAGTGCCTTCATGGGCAGAAGCGAGTTGCCCCGCAGGTGATGCCTCAGCCGTCATTTCATGATATCATCGATAGTATCTCTTGAGGCGGTGATTGCTGTCGAGGTTCTTCCACCTTCGTTCAAACGTTTCTCCTCGTCTTCGGATCGGTTGGCAATCATCTTTGGTCAAGCGCTGTTCAAGGGGATGGTTAGTCGGATTCACCTTGCGACCCAAACCATCTCCATGACCAGACCCACGGTGCTATCTCAAAGTCAGGGCTCCTTGATGGACGCCCCGACGGACGCGCGGGTCTGCGGTCTGCAGAACGTTCGCAGATGCAGACCAGGCACCGGCATTCTTTTCGGTCCTTAATAGTGGCCTTATGTAAAATATTTGTGCAGGCGCGGGGGCCGACTCTGAGCCAAAACCTCTGTTGGCGCGGGCGATCTCGCCATCGTCGCCCCGCGCAATATGGTGAAGCGGGCACCGGTGGCGAGTCGTGTTCGGCCCAGCCTTCGCGGAGCCAGTGCTACATGGATGCTGGCGAAATATATTGGCGAGCCAGCCCGCGGTCCGCCCTCGCGAACGCCCCCTTCCAAATGGAATCCGTGGGGCCCTCGCGTCAGGAGGGCGCGGGCGTTGCGCGCCACTGGAACGGGCGCGCGAGTGCCCGCGCGAATGGCTCCGACCATGGCGCCGCGGGCGACGGTTCTCCGCTTCCCATTCGTCTTCGTCGTCATCTCTGCGACGCATCCGTCTCCAGACTGGGCGACTCGCAGACCAGGCGCGCGCCGCGAACGCATTGGATGCATTCGGGAAGCTCGCAAGCATCTTGCGGGCTTCTCCGCAAGGTGTCGTCGTCGTGCGTTTCTCCGTATTTCGGGTTGCCCATGGCCTGCGGATGGAGCATAAATTGTAGCTCCTCCTCTGTTGCTGGTACGGTAGCATCAGAGTACGCGGGCGCCCCCGCCGCCTCGCGGCCCGAGTCGGCGGGCACGTGGATATCCTTAACGAACTCTATATCTGCGCAAATTGCCCCGCAGTGGGAGTGCCCAGCCAGTCCGGCAGGTCGATCTCGTCGTGGCCAACGTAGACACCCTCGAAGAGCTCGTCGGCACATCTCTCGAGGGACACGCTGGCGCTTAGATATCTGGCGGCAATGAAGTGGGCAGCGGCAGTCAGAGTGTCTTCGGGTTCGGCTAATAGCGTCTCCTAATCGACATACTGAATGTCCGAATCGGTTTGAGCCAAATGCATCGACGGACCCCTGCCTCCCCCATCGCCTTGGGGGCACTCACGACGGACTTGTTGTGTGCGGTGGCAGATATCACATTCCGTGGTTTTGCCGTTGGCATCCTTCGTGTTACCCCGACACCCCTTACCCTCTCCTGAGGTGTGCCTACGGCCTCTACCTGCCCCCCCAGGGACATTTCTTCGTATTGTGATCCAGTAAGGGGTGCCAGGAATGCCAACATACATATGCCATGTTGTCGCCGCCGTTTGCCTCTACCCTTGCCTCTACCCTTACCCGTTGCTCTGAACTTTGGATTTACGTCGTATATTGCGAGCTGGTTTCTCCATGAAGCGTCTCAAAAGGCTTTTGTGTTTCTGGTATCCTAGAAATAGCAATTGTGCCTGTTACTCTTCTGTGGGACGCGTAGGCATGTCGGAATAATATAGGGCGCCAGTTCCGTCATCTGATGGCGCGTCGGTGTCTGTTCCATAATCAAAGTAAGTCAGATCGGCGTTTTGCCCCGCTGAGCCTACTAGGGTAGCGGCTTGGGCAGGGGCCGCCGTTGCCGACGGCCCCTAATATCGAACCCAGGAGTCTTGCGACCCCGTAGGCTGGCCACTATGTTGAACTAATAAGGTGGTGGCTACTGTTGGTTGTGGATCATCGTTCCAGACGTTCGTAGCGGGTTGCCCTGCACTGGTATCAGTATGAAAGGTTTCGGCACGGTGACTGCGGCTAAATATACCACCGCTATTGCCAGGGGTTCGCTCGGCAATGCGGGCATAGTTGTTGTGCACGCGACGCACCCACTCCCAGAGCCCTGAACAGGATGACTGTTAGGATCTGGCAGTTGGGGAGATTGAAGCCTGCGATCTCGGCCTCGAAGCGGGCACTCTCAAAGCGTGCTCACGTATGTTCGGTCCGCTTTTCCGCGTGGGCGCGAAAGTCGATGAAAGCCGTTCCTGAATTCAAGAGGCGTTCCCCCTCTCGGTTCTCGAACTTAGTGTTGAAGAACAGGATGTAGGTGACGCCGTCAGTGGTACCCACCGATGTTTACGCCAAACTTGATGATTCCAGAACGTACTATTATGGCGCTGGTCCTTGCGAGCCCTCCCATACCACGCTGTAGTGTTGCGGCCTGTTGGGAAGGGGATCGTGATGCCTGTGGTCACGTTGATCCAGACGTTCGCGAACGAATTCGCGAAACAAACACGTTACTGGCAGGGCCCCAGCGGGAGCTGGTTGTACGTGCGTCGCCTTCGTTACGCTGCATGCGTCCCACGGCACATCCGATGGCGACCCACAAAAAGCCGAAAATGGTAATGCCAATCCGGCGGCCCCTTAGATAGTGGTCGGACGTTTGTGGCTGAACGTTGTGGTGTGTTGTAGTTCGCCTGCGTGGGGGTGGAAGCGGCACAATGTCGTATCACATAGTAACATTCATTGTTCCTTCAAAAAAATCAAATTGGGGTACGAGGGTGGACTTCAGGAGTGTAGAAGCGCAGGGAAGTGGGACTCATGTAAGAGGCCTCCGCGAAAACGGCTGCAAGTGTCCTTGCGGTTGTACGTAATTATGTACATTCCTCCGCGCAGACCCACTGCACCCTGATGTTCCATCATGTCAGTAGTCCACCAAATAGCGCCGTGGATGGTGAGGAATAGAGCGAGAACTGACCTCCATAGGCCAGCTCCGCTACCAAATTTGAAGGTGGTTGGAGGGCCCAACCAAAAGCTTCGCCGAATGCGAAGCCCATATCCAACTCTGTTGTACCGTAGTAGCGGTAGCCCCAGAAGGAAAACATCGTAGCGAGAGCGACGGGCCATGTCAAGCGAATCTATTTTCGGTCTCAATGGCGAGTAGTGTGCCTCGCGATGAGGCGCAGTCATGTGTTGGCGGCTGGCCGCTTGAGAACAAACGGCCGCGGACAAACGCTCGCTATGTCTCGCCTTTGCCCCAGCCTCCTTTACAGTGCCACGCCCTGTCGATGTGCGACTCGCGGTTCTGTTCGCGTCCTCAGAAGCCTCTCCTTGGAGGAAGGCAACTCTCTGGCCCAGGACGCGCCGCGCGACGCGCGATTATCTGGGCGGTTTTCGCGGGTGTTTCAAGGAAACCGAAAGGAAAAACGCTCGTCGTGATCTGGGAGGTCTGATTTCTGCCCCCCCTGAAGCGGCTGCCGCGGGCCCGCCTCCGGCTTCCTCTTAGCGACGAACGAGTCCTGCCACGGGCCAGTCCGCTGTAGTCCCGCCGACGCTCGCCGTCGTCGTCGTCGACACCAACCTCGCCGTCGACTTCGCCGTCGGCGTGGGCGCCGCCGCCGCCGAAGATGTCGTCGCCGATGACGTCCTCGTGACAGTCCTCGTCGTGCTGGTCGCCGTCGTCGTGGTCGTCGTGGTCCTCTTCCTCGTTCTCCTCGACGCCATTCCCTTTCTCCTCGGCCTCCGTTCCCCTTCTCAGCCCCTCCTCTTCCCCGCCGTGCCCGTTGCCCTCCATTCTACCCCACCTCCCCAATCATCCCCTCCCCCTCCTCCTCCTCCTCCTCCTCCTCCTCCTCCTCCTCCTCTCCTCCTCCTCCTCCTCCCCCTCCTTTTTCTTGTCTTCCTCCTCCTCCTCCTCCTCCTCCTCCTCCTCCTCCTCCTCCTCCTCCTCCTCCTCCTCCCCCCCTCTCCATTCTCCTCGGTGCTCCTTCCCTGCCTCCACCTGCCTCCTCATCATGCTGCTGTTCGTTCACTCCCCCTCCTCCTATTCTTTCTCCTCCTCACGAACTGCAGATGGGCTGGGTGGATCCATAACCTACTAGGGGCCCACTGCAAAGCTTCAGAGTTCGAGTCGGCGGCGGCACTCCTGGATCTGGCCAGGTCTTACGAGACTGTGGAGCACCAACACTTGCCCACAACGGATAAACGGCTCGGGTTCCCAACCAATTTGATTAGAAGAGATTGCTGTATCAAATATATATATATATATATATATATATATATATATATATATATATATATATGCCAGCTTCCCCGTCCTCTACGGAGGGACAACCTCGGAGGTCGTCTCACCGAACGGCATCATCGTTGCAAGTTGCTCAGGAGCGAACTCGGTTGCCAAGATGCTTTTACTCGGCCCGCTGCTGGAAGCAAGCCAGCACAAGCACCTGTTTCATCTGCGCTGCAAGATTGACGACATCACGCTCCAGACACGGACCAAGCTTGCAGGTGGACCACTAGCTGGTAGGAGGAAACGAATCGTTTTGCAAGTCTTTCAGGAGGCTGCATGTGTGCCGAACTCTGCTCGAAGGAGGTCGTCGTTCACCTCAGGTCGTTGTGGTCCTTGCCAGCTTCGTGCAGGACTGGCACTGCGAGGAATCAAGGCATGAACGCAACCTTGGGAGGAGTCAGGCAGGCCAGTATTCAGGACGTCAGATTATCGAAACCTGCATCCCGTTTTCGGAGGTGCCAGATACTGCAAGGGGTGGGGGCTAGTATTTCCCTGGTGCATCGGATGGGGCCCACGGCGGTGGCCCTTTGCGGTTCGAGTCCCACCAATGTGGCAGACCTACGCATCTCTACTGTGGGTTAATTTGGGAAGCTTCCCAGAGGATCATCAATGGGGCTCAGGATGTATGCGTACAACCCCGGTTTCAAGACAACCCCCCTCGCAGTCTACGTCGAGCACGTGATTTGTATGTGGGCGACGGCTGTATGGGAGGCGGTGCCGAATGCACAGGTCGTGGACAACACCCTCAGCCAATCAGACACTAAGTGTCGCAATGGTTTTGCCCATGGCGGTCGGCCTCCTCACCAACAGATGCTGCTCTGCTTGCTCTGCGAGGCATGGGTGGGATTTCAAAGGCAGCACGCACACATTTTCCGATGTGGGGGTGGAATGCAATGTGCTTCGGTTGGCCCCTATGCAGAGTCGGGACGTCGTTCGCCAGGGTGTGATCCGAAGATCCGATCGTCGTGCCCTCTCCCTTCAGAACGGCCTGAACGGGCCTCCCTTGTTCCCGATCTTCCGGAGCGGCATCTCTCTGTTGTTGAAGCGCAAGAGTGCTACATAGCCTAAGCACCACCAGCGTTGCTTAAGAGTTCTGGTGTCCGACGTGCAGTGGCCGCAGCAGCGGCTTTCCAATCATGGATTGCATGATGAAGCTGGCTGGTACCCTTTGGCATCGACAGTCCGAGTGCCAAGCACACACGAGTCTTCGGCAAGATCATGTAGGAGCCAGGCTGTCGAAATGTGATTAGGATGTCAAGCAGAGGAATCCCATCGTGAGTGAAAGGTTTGGTCGTGGCACTTTCCCCGACCCCACCTTCATGTGTGAACACCTTGAGGCGCAAGACATTGTTCATTTATGTGTTTGCCCTCCGCGAGCCGATTCGGTCTACAACACGCACTCTGCGCAGGGGCTCGAGGCAGAAACGCTCGGGGACGGACAAGATGACAAGGGAAAGAGGAGAAGGAGGAGGAAGAGGAGGAGGAGGAGGAAGCGAGGCGGAACCGGAGAGAGGGCCCAGGATACCCTTTGAGGTACAACCGACCCGATTCGGGTGTTCTCTCCGGACTGCTACTTCTGGGCGACCCTGCTTGCGGACAGACTCTTGCCCATGCCACGTCTGCAGATGCAGACGCTGGCCGTGCGAGCTTCTGGGACCTGCGAGCCAACGTGCACGCGACCTTCCTGCCAAGTCAGGAGAGTGGACGCCCACGGGCGCTCTGGAGAGGACGCGCGCCCGTGGCGCGGACGCCGCAGCCGTGCGGGCAAGGCGGCCAGGTGGGCGACTGTAGACAGTTTTCGCCCACTAGATGCTCTCATCAAGAATGGCACGCACACCAACCATCGAAGAGCACGCAACGACGCAAAATAAGCCGATGTGCTGCGCCAGAACAGGCTGTGCTGTCCTGGGCATGTCGGCGGGTTGGCATGTCGGCAGGTGGGCGACTACTTTGGAAGTCGGCATTTGGGGGGTCGTGTCAGGGTCACGGCTGGGCTTAGAGGCCAGGCCGACGCCGACCCTGCCGCCTGCTGCTGCCGAGACTGCTGACGACCCTCAAGAACCAAGCTATGGCCGAGGGCGACCGGCCCAGGGAGGAAGGTGAGGACTATGGGGGTTGGGAAACGCTCGCTGCGCAAGGCATCCGAGGCAACGGCCACGCCCTCATTGGAGCGCGGATCCTGGAGCTTCGGGGATTGCCCAAGGGGGGGTCCAGCTCTGTTGCAGGTGCGGCTGCTCCTGCTCTGGAGGCCCTTCTTCCAAGAAGATTCGAAAGCCCTGTCGGCCCAAAGTCAGTACGGGTGGGCCGAGTGACCAGCGCTGAGATTTCGTCAGTCGAAGTTCCCCTCTATAAGGAGGGCCTTAAAGGGCTGGCCCTCGGGCCACACGAGGGCCTGTCTCTCGTCGAGCGTCGAACGCTTGTCGATTCTCTGGCGGCGGAGGGCCCCGAGGTCCGTCAGGGCGCCCATCTCGGCCATTTGGATATCGGACAGGGTCTTGCTGTCCATGAACAAGTCCTGGCTTCGCTTGGCCTTGAGGAGGCCGACCTCGCCTGTGTTCGAGCCAGAGGCGAAGCCACGGCGCGCCCGTCCAGTTTCCTCCAAGCGAGCTCGAACTCTGACTCGTCCGACTTGTTGTCTGACCTCCCTGCATGGCAGCAGGTCCATTCCCAGCACCTCCTCCTCCTCTTCGTGCCCAGGCCAACGAGGCAAGCCTTGCTACCAGGAGAAGCGGCCCAAGTTCGTGCTGGGATGCAACGAATTGCGCCGCGCCCTTGCAGCGAACCCCTCGACGTGCGGCGGCGGGCTTCGGCCACGAACATGTCCAAGCAGCGCCAGTGGATCACCACCTGCTACTAACATTTTTTCCATGGAACGCACTAGAGCAAGGGATGGGATCAGCCCGCAGGCCGTGAGGGGAGAGCACGACGTCCAACAGTCTACACGCCTAAAGCCGCGGATAGGCCGGTACACCCAAAATGTGGATGTCAATCTTATGTTGTTCCGGCTTGCCCGCCTCCCGCATGCACGAAAGTGGACAGGTAAATGACATAAAGTGGCTGGCCGGGCTGACGTCACCACGTTCGGGGGGGGGAGGAGGAGGAGGAGGAGGAGGAGGAGGAGGAGGAGGAGGAGGAGGAGGAGGAGGAGGAAGAAGAGGACGAGGAGAGGAGGGGGCAACATCGGGGGCCGGCATCAAATCGAGGATAGGCCGGTACACCCCAAAAACGATATATAAACCTGAAAGGTACGAAAGGCCACCGCGTGCCCGAAAGCTATCCCCACGCCCCTGCAAGGATAAGCGCAAAACGCGGCCGGACCTTGTCCCGCGCAGGAGCCAAAGCTGCCTAGAGCGCAAACTGGGCGTATTGACGGAAGGCCCCCCACAAGTCGTTGTGGGCCAGGCCACCGTTTCTGAGGGCATTAAATAAGCGGTAGATGGCGTAGAGCCCCACTCCGCGCGACACAACTTCCTCCTCGGAGGCATGCAAAGAAAGGCAAAGAAAATCGTCGAGCGTCTGCGGCGACCGAGAGCTGCCGCCGTGCAGGTGGGTGGAAAGGAGCGCGCGCACCGCGCTGCAGCACGCCAGGTGCTCGATGGAGTCCCGCTCGGCCCCGCAGCGGAAGGGGCAATGGCCTCGCTGTTGAAAACGATGCCGGGTGCACCAACCATTGGTCACCGTCCGGATGAACGCGGCCTGAATCCGAGGTACGGAACGGCGGGCAAGGACGTCCAAGACCCTCAGCGCCCTGCCCATTCGTCGGCCGGGGAGGACGTCCAACCGCCACCTGTCCAGCCTCCGGCGGAAGTGCCGCATGGCCTCGCCCCTGCAGCCGACAGCCAGCAATTTCGTCATCTGGCCCTGCCATCCCGCCTGCAGGCTGATCCACGAGCGCACGCCGGCGGCGCGCTGCAGCAGCATGCTGGCGTGAGCAGCCGCCCGGGACAAGATGTGCAAAAACGAGTTGCGCACCCACTGCGACACCCAGGCGCTGTGGGCCAGGGAGCAGTGAGCCAGTGGTGGTTCCTCCAATCGACGGATGCGGTCCTCCACTTGCAGACCTCCCATGGAGTCCGCCTCGAATCGATGGACCCGGGCTTTGGCGGCCACGGCCACAGCAGACATGTCCACCAGCTGGTCCGGAAAGTGAACCGCCTTCAAGTCCTTGGCCGCGGCCGCAGACAGCCAGCCCCCTGGGCCAGGCAGCAGTAGGCGCGCCGCCTTCTCCTCCATCTCCTTGAAATCGCCTGGTAGCTCTTCCAACTGCGCCACGAACTGCAGGGTGGATGAGATGAACACCCTGTATGCCTGCAGGGTGAGCGGAAGTCCCAATCCCCGGGAGCCCCAAAGACGTGCCCGGTCGATGTACTTGGCCACAGGGGCGGACCATGAAGTGTCTTTCCGGCCAGGACCCACCATGAAGCCCAAGTACTTCATGCAGGAGGAGATCTTGACCCCGCCCCATTCGGGAGCCTCGTTCACCAGGATGGCCCGCACCTCGTCCTCCTCGAACTGCCACAGAGGCACCGCGACCGTCTTGGGAACGTTGAGACGCAGGCCAGCCACCCTTTGCAGCTCAAGGAAAAACGCCTGGAGGGCCCCGAGCCTGTCGCGGAAGTTGGGCAGTACTAGCGCCATGTCGTCCGCCCAAGCCCTGATGGTCGCGCCCGGTGTGGTCCTGGACAAACGTCGGAGGATGAGGTCCGTTGCCATGGCGAATAGCAAGGGTGAGAGAGGGCAACCTTGCCGGATGCCCCGTGTCAAAGAAAATCCCTCCATGCGTTCCCCAGCCAAGAAAATCCAACAAAAGTTACGGTGGTATAGGTTGCGGATGATTCTGAGGAGCCAAGCGGGCCAGCCCAGCGACTCGAAGAAAACCATGAAGAATCTGTGCTCCACCGACGGGAACGCGGCCGCCAGGTCAAAGGAGAAGGCCAAACCCGTGTCCCCGCTCAAGGCCGCCATCGCCATCGCCTCGTCCACGTCCACGACGTTGGCCAGCATGGAGCGTCCTCGTAAGAACCCCCATTGGGCCTGCGTGATCGTAGGCGCGATCTTGTGCTCCAGCGCGATCCGGACAGCGCTGGCGATCAGACGGTTGTCGCAATTCGTGACGTTCAAGGGCCGGACATTCTGTGCCTCGTACGCCGGGGTGCCATCCGGGGCGGCAGCATTGGAGGATTTGGGGAGGAAGAACAGCAAGCTCTCGTTGAAGTCCGGGAAATCCTGCTCCAGGATGCGCTGCCCATCCGGTGATGCCAGATCACGCAATGCGTTGTGCAGGGTATCCACGGCAAGGCTGCCCAGGGCACGCCAGGCCCCGTAGGGGATCCCGTCGGGTCCCGGAGAGCAATTTTTAGCCTGACGGATGGCCGCCGAAATATCCTTCCGGCGAATCCGGAAGCCACCCCAATCAAGACGAGGCGGGCCACTTGCAGCTCTGGCCGCCGCGTCGTCCGCAAGCCAGTCGCCGAGCTTGTTCTCGTCCACGCCTGTCGCTGCGAATGTCGCCGCCCAGTGGCTCCGCAATATGTTCGCCATGCCGCGCGAGTCGGTGACCACCCGGCCGTGCCTGTCGACGATGGCGCCGAGGCCGCCGCCCCTGCCTGGACTCAGCCGGAAAAGGAGCCGCGAGCCCTTCTTCCGCTTCCTGTTCTTCCCCATCCAGTCGTCGCCGTCGTCGTCGCGGGACGCCTGCATTCTGGTCAACGCGATGTCCCGCGCGAGCTCCACAGCGTGATCGCGAAGTCGGAGCAGGGAGGAAGAGAGGTTGGCATCAAAGTCATACGGATTGCACACGAACTCTGAGATGCGAGGGTATCGAATCAAGCACCGAGATATGGCAGAGAGGCATCTTTGTTCGGCCGCCCGTAAAAAGCGCATCACTACCCCCAGCTTGTCCTCGTCGTCCGTGGCCGCCTGGAAGCCCGTGGACTCCCGAGCAAGGCCCGAGGCGACGTCCCGCATCACCTGCTACTAACATGCGGAGAAGGGGCGGGGGCCCTTCGCCGCCGCCGTGTGGCTCCAACACCACAGCGCCCTTGCGCATCACAGCGTGCACTACAATGCCTTCTTCTGGGGGGAAGGAGGAGTGCAGAGGGTGATGACCGCGACGATGCCAAACAATTTGCGCGGGCCACGGGATGTTTGCCCGGGAAAAGTCACACTACGCATGGTTCGGCAAGCCGGAGGCGGATGCAAAAGCGGGAGCACGCAACGGACATGTCGCGAATTACGGCCCGCAAGTGCAGAAAAGGAAGAGGAGGAAGACGCAAGGAGAACGGGCAGACTCGAAGCGCGCCCCAATTCGTATCTAGTTCTGCGCAATAATATAAATACAATTCCCGGGGGTCGGATATTAAACGTGGTCTCGAGGGTGCGCAGCGGCCTCGGATCCGGGCGGGAACATGAACGCCTCACGAGCCGACCTGCAGTAGGCAAACCTATGCGGAGCACATGAAAATATCCTCCCCCGTGGCTGGAACAGCCAACAATGTCTCACAGAAGGCACAGAGTGAGGCAATGAGGAGGAATGGGGAAAGCAAAAGCCAGTCCGCCAGGATGAGGCCTCGCGAGAAACACACCTGAAAGCGCTAACGGTGGGACGGGAAGCGGAAAATGCGGACGAGACGGAGAGGAGAATTACCCCTAGGAACAGACCTTCCGGTTGCCTGGTGGGCGCCGGGATCTGTCGAAGACGTGGTAGCGAGTGGAATGGGAGACAACAAAAGACGCCACGGGCGAATGCAGAAAGAGGCGGAGGGGGGAGAAGGATGGGGGACGCAAGGGGAACGCCACCCAATGGCCCAGAGGGGGTAATCGTCGCTGACCACGCGGTGGCGGTAGCGAATACGAATGGAGCCCGGCACTCTGGCAACAACGTGGCCGGAGAGGTATCGGCCACGCGGCCGGGGCAAGGTCGCACCTCCTGGTCCCTGCTGGGGGTTGCACTGCCTATGCGGATCTCGGACCATCTGGCCCGACCAAGACTCTTCGACAAGCAGCAACGACGGGCGAGAAAGATGGGGAAGCGCAGGCCGACTCGAGCCGTGGCCAAGCGAGCGGCGCGACTTGGCGCATCTGACGGGCGCGCGGACTCGCACTATTCATGCCGCCCGCAGCAGGATACGGCCTACGAGGGGGGAGGAGAGGCCGAAGCCCAATAGGAGCGGGATAGGCGAGAGGAGCGGAAAGACGAGGGACGACGACGACGAACGAGGCAGGCGACAGCAGAGGAGCCAGGTCCAGGGTCGCCCAAGACAACTTTAAAACTGAGAGGAGGAGGAGGGGGAGGAGGAGGAGGAGGAAGGAGGAGGAGGAAGGAGAAGAGGCCCCGCGCTGGCGCTCCACGCCACGCGTCCTCGAGCCTCGTACAGCCGACGCTAGCGTCGCGGACGAAATGCAGTATGGCGCCGCGCACGGCGTGCGCGCAGGCCGCGGTGTCGGGCGTGACACTGCGCAGCATGCAGGGCGTAACGTGCCAACGCGCGGCGCAACACGGCCATTTCGGTCGCCTCAGACTCTGCGGAGTGCAACACCAAAAAGTAGTCGCCGTGCTGTCTTGGCGGCGGCGCCTGCAGCCCGAGGTCGCCTCCGCAAAACTGCCGGAAGACGGGCCGCGGGAAGTCGTGGCGAAGGCCGTCCCTCGCGGCGCGGCCCAAGACGCACGTGGCCTCGCCTCCCATGCGTTTCGCAGGCTGCCCAGCCGTCCAAGAGCGAGCGGAGGAGCCCGTGCCAGACGCACGGCGGCACAATCGGGCCTACTCGCTGCAACAAACTGACTGCCCTATGCGCGCGGTGTCCCGGGAGGGTCGCCAGATCTAGGCCATCATGGCGGCAACATCATACCCGCGCTCACGCGCCAAGCGCGTGGCACCGGCCAGCTGATGGATAAAGGCCGCGTCAAGCCAGCGACACCAAACTGCGGCTCGATCTGGGAAGCTGCAAGTGCAGCGGGCGCGGCGAAGTGCAGTGGGCGAAGGTCTATCCGAAGACCACCGTTGCGACGGTCCTCGCATTTGGCCACTCGGCACTTCGCCTCAGCGCCGTCTCGTGGATGTTGAGGAGACGGAGACGGAGACGGACGCTGCAGTTCGCGCCGGAGCGCGGCCCTCTAAGAGCGCAGCGGAGGCGCCGGAGCGCCGAAACTCACTTCTCGACGTCCTGTAAGAAAATCTTGCCGGAAGACCTTCGACCGGGGCAGTACGACATGCCACACAGAACTGTTTCCAACCACGTTACTTCATAGACTGTATTGTTTGCATCAGCCGCAAAAACGAATTTGATTTGCTCAGCGGGTCGCCCGTGCCATTGTGGATCGTATTGCAAACCTGTCTCCAGAAACTCGACCTGTGTAGATCTCCAAATTCTTTGTCAAACTCCGTTCGCGTCATTTTTGTTGCTGACGTCCAGGTACTGGGGCAAGCCTGCAGCATTTTTTGTATTTACCAAACGCTGCATCGTCAAAGCCATGTTCGTGGATCTCTTTTGGGGAGAGCCTCCTTCGTCCACCAATGATATGTGTAATTTCCGTCGCATTCCCAACCACTGTGGATCTGTACGGAATTGATTCACCAGCTTGCTAGATAGATGCGTCCATACGCCAACCCATTTTGAAGGGCACGTGTCTATGTCGTCAGCGTCAGGTGACGACTCCTGCTCGGCATAATTCTGCGTTTCATTCTCGTCCAGGGGCTCCAGGCGAGCCTCACTGTGATTTGATCCGCCTGACTGTCGTGCTGCACCCTCCGATCTCGACAGCAATTCGCTGAGCACTTCATCAACAGTTGGTGTAAGGGGAGGTTCCTTGCAAACCAAGATGCGTTCTGACCTTTCGATGCGACCCAAAGCCTCCTGCGAATTGAAACTGCAATCACGCTCATCAGAATTTCCACGCTGCGCCATTGACTGTGGTACTTCGCCTTGAGGCTGCACTTGCTGCGAATCGTTCACGAACTTCTCAAACACGGATTCTAATCGCGCCTGAAACTGAAAAAGGGTATTGAATAACATGTGCTGCGTTGTTGCACCATCTTGGACCAAACACTGAGAATTTACCACTGCTTGGTGAATGTCGCTGTACTGGCTTGACAAACGTTGCATGTTGTCTACCACTGCATTAAACCTCTCATCATTTTTCGTGATGCGATACCTTCTCATTTAAACGCTCCAGATCATCAAATATCGACTCTGCCATCTTGCGCCTGTCTCGACGGCGTTGCGTTTCAGACTGAGGGTGCAAATGTGATCTCCTGTCTTTCCATTATGTACTCCATCGCTGGGGCGGCATGCTTGCTTGGGCCTCAACTACTTGCTTGGGCCTCAACTTGAGCCTCAACTTGAGCCAACTCGCCACCATCTTGAGCCAGGTTCACTGGACTACCTAGGTGTTCAAGGGCATGAAGAAACGATGGTGGTAGCCAGCATCGGGAGCCGCGGAAGAGCGCCGCGCACGCCCAGCGTCCTGCGTCCTCGAACTCGGCAGGCACGCCGTCCAGCTGCCCCAAGAAACGCAAATATCGAAACGACGTACACGAGGTACGCAAGCAAACAATGGAACGCCCCGCACCCAGTCCGGCCCCAATCCCGCGCTCGATCCACGCACTTCTGCAGCGCCTCGTGCCACGTGAGAGAGCCGCGTTCCTGTCCGAGGACGACGCCCAAGCATTTCGCGTCGTACTGGATGCTGACATCCACGAACGTCGGGGCGACCCGGGCGGGCAGCTGCCGGACTTGGTCCGTGGCGGCAGGGCGAAGCGGCACCACCATGGTTTTGCCGCGGTGGAGCTGGAGCCCCAGCAAGGCCACCACAATACGCAGCGCAGATTTCACCCCCGCAGACGCGTGCACCACATCGCCCATGCACTGCGCAGCGCATACGTGCACCACAGTGTTTTCCCCTTCGCACCCTCCCTCGAGCATCACTGTATGCTGGTGTTTGCTGACGCTGCGCCGCATCTGCTTCTCAGAAGCAGGAGGGCCAACAATGCTCTGCTTCTGCTGCCTCCCCTCCAGAGCCAACACGTAGCACGAACCAATGCCTTTCAAATCTGTACCGCACTGCCTGTCCCGATGCGTGTTGCACGCACGCACCACAGTGCTTGCGTGCACCACGGCGCCTGCGTGCACCACAGAAACCGCGTTCGCCGCATCGCCTGCGCACACCGCAGAGACTGCGTGCACCACAGCGCCTGCGCACACCGCGATGCCCGCGTTGCCTACACTTAAGTTGTAGAGCTGGGCTCTGGGAAAGGGCCTGGGCGCCCCCCAGCCCGACGAAGGAACCGGGCAACAGTGGTGCCTGCAAGGACGCGCGCTGCGGGTGAACACTTGCGAGAACACGACTGCACTTCTGTCGGCACCCCGACAACTTCAGCACCGCGACGACGATCACGACGACTAAGACGGCGAGTACGAAGACTACGACGACTACGATCGTCACGACGGCGGTCACGACGACGACCACACGCCGACGACGACTACTACGACGACCAAGACGACTACGACGACTACGACGACGAGAAACGACAACCACGACGACGATCACCACGGTCACAAGACCACTACGACGATTACGACGACACCCCGTCGTCCTCTCCCCCCCCGCCTTTCTCTATGGATGGGTATAACCGCCGTCCAATCTACACGTCCGGAGCAGCGGCCCTCGCCGAGAGCTGTCCAGAGGTCGCATTGGATCGTCCCCCCCCTGTCGCTTCGCTTCGGCTTCAGGTCCCCCGGTCAGGCCCGCTATCCTTTTTGCAGGTTTCCCGTTTCAGGTGCCCCTGGGCCCTCCTCTCCTCTCTGCTCCCCGCCTCTCGACCCTCCTGCTGCTCCCCTCTCTCTCTCTCTCTTTCTCCCTTCCCTTCCCTTCGACCCTCCTGCTTTCGACCCGCGGTCGAATAAACGCTGCCCCCGAGTCATCCCCCCAGCTGCTATCCCACCCCATGGGATAACGAATTCGTAGGGCATGT